CTCCAGGACGCTGATGATGAATACAGCCAGACTGGCTCATTGGCAGGACCTGGAAGGGCAAACTAGTCACTGAGAGCAGGGACTCTTCCCACTTAGCTCCCGTTAACTCTGCAAGCCAAAGCCGTAACAGGTAGGGTGGTGTTAGCTCAAAAAACAGAAGGAAAACTTGCCAGGCAATGCTTTCAATGGCAAGCTATGCAGTTTTAGTTGGTTGGACAGTATCCCAACACATTCAGGGTTCACAAAGCTGTGGCTCTATTCCCAAACCGTGCCTAATATTCTTTGGAATTAGATAAGCAGGATGCATCCTTCCAGGGAGAGAATGCACACTGCATTAGAATAAACATCTCTGGAATTTCCATGTGTAGATGAGACGCATGGAAATCAGTTTGGTTTGGATACTCCTAAGCATGTGCTAGGTTTCCATATGCTTCAGACACCAGACTGACCAAAAAAAATTGAGGACTCATTTAGGTTGGCATTAAAGATCCCATAATATTATTTTGAAAAGCGAGGAGAGTCTCTCGCAGTGTCCTGGCCAACGATCATCCAAATCAATTGATTGTCTACTCCACTTAGGGTTACCACCTAATCATTTTTTAACTGAACTGTCCAGTTTTTATACTGCTTTTTTGAGTGCCAGTGAAAAGAATTAATGTCCTTTTTTTCACAGTGATCATAACAGGATGCATGTCCATTTCTCTCCCCCACCCCCAACTCCACTATACAATTACCAGATGGCTGCTCCTGCTCTTACCAATATTGCAGTGACTTTTTTTTAAACCAATATGCAACCAGCTCCCTCCTGCCCCCACCATGAATTGCTCACTATGTCTTTACCAAGACAGGGGGGATATAGGCACTCCACTTATACATAAAGAAGCATTTTTTTTTACTCGTTTAAGAAAGATGCTTCAACTAATGCAGCTAACAAGTTCTGGACTCCAAATAAGGTTGTTTGAAGTTCCAGCCCTAATTGTTAATTGGGCACCAGTAACCTGCCAATGACTCAGCACTAGTATATCTTTAACCAGCACCAGCTGGCTGATTGAGGGAACTTAGTAGAAGATGGCTGTAAAAAGCAATATCTCCTTATCAAAATAAAACCAACCTTTCTTTGTGTTGTTAAAACTCTTGGTGCAAGTTTGTTTCCCGGTGCTATTTCTGCCCTCCTACGCTGTCCTCTCCCATTTTATCAAGATGGTTGAGGTTCTTTTAACACCTCGGAGATGTCTCAAAGCACTTCACAGAATGCACCGAAAAGTGGGTTGAGTGTACTTTGTGGGCAAAATGCAACAGCCAGTTTTTGCACAGCAGTGTCCCACAAACAGCCACACATTTATTTGGGGATTTGTTGGCCCGAGTACTCCCTTCATTTTTGAATAGTGCCATGGGATCTTTAATGTCTAGCTACACAGGCAGTTGGGAACATTTTGACAATATTGGTGCTATATCATCTGCAAGGCATTTTATTATAATTGTTTTGACTATATCCTAATGTGCCAGTGTATTAAACATTTTCCCAATCCCCGTGTAAAAAAAATATCCACTGGTCTCAATTCTTACCTTGCTTGGATTTATACTCCATCTCTGTGAAGCAATATCCATGTGAAAATTGGTATATAGGTGCAAAAGTTGTTGTTGTTCATTCCTGTTACTATTGACATGGTATTATCAGTTCCTAGAAGGTCATTGAAGAGAACAAATATCTGGGATATGGTGAGATTGGTGCTATTTTATTTTGGTGTATTTTGAGTTATTTCATTGTGGTAGATAGTTTTAAAAAAACATTATCAGCCTGTTCTCTTTGACCTTAGTGTATTTAAGGAGTGTGATTTTTATATTGTGTCAGCATCTTTTGTATGTGATGCAACTGCTCCATAAAGCTCAGCCTTAGATATTCAGTGGGTCCTACTCCAGTTACAGATCATACTCAATGGTGATGCAAGCAGACACACAGCTATCAGATTGTTTTTTAACTTTTAATGCCAAGTGAGAGTAGCTCTGATTAGGTTGCTTTGAAATAAATTCCATGCTCCACATACAACAAATTGCATTTATATAGTCTTTCATGTTAGGAAGATGTGACAAGGTGCTGGACAGTTAAGGATGTGCACCCAAGCTGAGAGTTGAATTCAAGAGGGATAGGGAGCAAGAGGATTGGGGTGGGAGGCAATTATGACATATCATATATAACTAGAATATACTCCATACATTGATAAGATACAATTGGTCAGCCAGGTATCTCCCACATGCAGAATCCAATCACTATGCGTAAGAGTAATCAAATCAGACTGCGTATGCACACCACACACATGGAAATTTCTCTTATATGAGTGGATCAAACTGCACTGTACATAAATACTAAATGTTCTGAATGTGATGTGTCCAGTTAGATCCATAAGTTGTATAAGGATACTCTGTGAAGCGCTTTAAGAGTCTCAATGACATGATAAGGCACTATGTCAAATGCAAGGATTATTATATATATATCTTATAAATAAATCTCAAATAACACTTGGAGATGTATTAGTTTTTTTTGTTCATTGCCACAAATGCAACTTGATTTAATTTATTTCAAAACATTATTATAAGCAAAGAAAAAGCAAACTACAAAACTTGTATGCATAGTTGCACACAAAGCTTTTTGGACTTTGCTTGTACAGTTTGGTTGCTCCATTTTGCAAACATAACTACATTCTGTATCCTAAAATACAAGCTTTATTTCAAAACATCATCACTTTTCAAATGAATCATTGATGTAGTTCCCATCTACCTTGTCAATCAAGTATATCCTTAATTTCATTACAACTGAGGTTCTGTCCTGGTTGTTAGTTGATTGGTGGATTGCTTTTCTGGGGGTAATAATCTCATTAAAAAATAATAATTTCATTACCCAATCCACGATTGTTTGTGGGACACTGCTATGCACAATTGGTTGCCGTGTTTCACTCACAAAACATACAATCAATTTACTTTACAGTATATTCTATGAAGTGCTTTGAAACATCTCAAAGACGTGATAAGGCGTTATATCAAATGCAAGTATTATTATTATAGACCCAACATGCAAAGGTATTGCTGGTTCACTTGAGGATCAGTATTTATTGAAATGTCATGCATGAGAATAGATGTTTTGTACTTTTAAATCAAATTATCAGAACAATAGAAATTCACAGCACCAAAGGAGACCATTTGACCCATTGTGCTGACACAGAAGGAGTAGCTGAAATTTGTAGCAACCGAGAAGAGTTACTGGGAGATCATTCAATAAGTCAAGCAATCATAAATTTGTGACAGTCCTATTCTCCTGCCATACCATTTCATATTAAACTCTGTATACTTGGCTTGAATGGCCTCGTATGCTGAATATTTCAAATGATTCTATGATAATAGCTGTGCAAAATATTGTCACTTACTGCAATGATCTAAAGTAGAAAATGTAACACCACTCAAGACTAAAGGCCACAGCTTCATAGATTGCTTAGGATTCTGTTTTAAGGTGTTAAGAAGCAGCGAATGAGATGAACTTGCAAGGAAATATTCAGCTGCTGGAACCCCGTTGGGAGTTCGCCAGTAAATCACAGAATCTTCTTAAAAAGCAACTCAACCTGTAAAAACACCACGGTCTTCTAGAAAAACAGAAACTCAACCTGCAAAAACAAAAATCCCAGCGGGGATAGAAAGGTAGTAAAATGCATGAATTACCATTAGAAAAAATAATGTAATCAGATCCACATCTGCCAAGAAAAAATATGCTTTGGATTCTTCTTATATCCAATCCAACACACAATACATTGATGCATCTGGGAAGAAGTAAAGGGGGGGAAGAAGGTTTATGATTTTGTTCCATTTCCTTACATATACCCAACATGAGGACTCAATTTGCATTGCAATGGACAACTATACTTAGATGGGAAGTCATTATAAGTCACTGTGAGGAAAATAACTGGGGGAGGGGAGATCTCTGTCTACTCTTCTCTCCCCCCAGCAAAGCAAAGATGACCAAAGGCAAGCAGAGCCCAGTTTACACTTGTCATGTTTGTTGCTGGGAGGAGAAGGGCAACTCGGGTGGTAACAGTGGAGAGCAGAGAGGGTGTAAAAGCAACTCCTGTGACTGGGGAAGCCTTACAGAGAGCGAGTGAAAGGGAGGCCTGGGGTCAGGCGGGGAGGGGAGGGGGGGGGTGTGGGGGAGGGGAGGTTAGACTGCCGGCAACTTCACAGCCGCTTTCACACGAACAGTTAAAGCCTCTGCAGTTACAGGATACATCCTCCCGCCCGCTCTCGACTTTGACTCTGAACTTGTGTGGGGGGGGAATGATTGAACTCAAGGGTCAGCGAAACCAATGAGCTGTCAGACGCCCAAATAAATCGCGGTGAGCTCGCTCTCCCCAGTCGGGAAAGTTAATAGAGGAGAAGGTAGGTATGTGGGCCCGGTCCAGCCTCCAGGTCTAGTCTGGCCCTGTGTGGAGGGTGTGAGTGAGTGGGGGGTGTGTGTGAGTGGGGGGTGTGTGTGAGTGGGGGGTGTGTGTGGGGGGGGGTGTGAGTGTGAGTGTGAGTGGGGTTGTGTGTGAGTGGGGGGTGTGAGTGGGGTTGTGTGTGAGTGGGGGGTGTGTGTGAGTGGGGGGTGTGAGTGGGGTTGTGTGTGAGTGGGGGTGTGTGTGAGTGGGGGGTGTGAGTGTGGGTGTGTGTGTGTGTGGGGGGGGTCTCCCTGTGAGGATCTCCCTGTGGGGGTCTCCCTGTGACTCCCTGTGAGGGTCTCCCTGTGACTCGGGTCTGTGTCGGGATCGCGGTGATGGTTGATTTTCAGTGCCGCGCGATTGTCTTTCTCTGCGTCACAATGTGTCAGTTCCACAGAGTGTTATATTGTATCGGTTCGACTGTGACACAGCGTATCGGTTCGACTGTGACACAGCGTATCGGTTCGATTGTGACACAGTGTATCGGTTCCATTGTGACGCGGTGCTGCTTTGTCCCCGTCTCTCGCCGTTCTGTTGTAGACTGATGGACGTCCTGAGGAAACTGAGGACCACCGCTCGGGCCGCCGCCCCCCTCCTGAGCGGGGCTCAGCCCAGGGCCAGGGCCACCGGCACCGGCACCGGCACCGGGGAGCTGCTCGCGGCCGCCAGCAGGAGCAGCGCCGCCGCCTCCGCCAGGCAGGTTCACACCAGGAAAAGAGGCTATGATATGACCAGAAACCCGCACTTGAACAAGGTAAAGCCGCAGCAGCAGCACTGCGCCTCCGCTAGTGAGTGTCAGCTTATCAGCAGCGGTGCTCTTGGGTGGGGGAGGGTGGGGGAGGGTCACCCCCCCCCCGCAGGCTCGGCAACAGGCTCCACCACCGTTAAAACTATCCGAGAGGCTGCCCCGTGTGAAGAGCACTGCGTAAATGCGAGGTGTTGAATTGACTCTTCTCTCTTGTGATGAAACGCCAGACTGTGCCTATCGCTCGTCTCCCGGTGCAGGTGGATCTCCATCCACGTTACATCAGGTTTCCCAGGGAGGACTCTCACTGCTTAGGCTTCCCCTCACTACCTTGTTACAACCTCTCTCCCTCCCGCCCCCCCCCACCCACCAAAGCAGTGATCATCCGCATGGCTTCCAGGTTTGATTATGCTGACGCCCTCCTCTGTGGACTCCACAGCTCCTACACACACACCACACACACACACACACACACACAAGATGCAGTCAATGTCCTCTCCTGCGAAAGGTCCTATAAGTGTCATCTGCAAACTGGGTCAGCTCCAGCGGATCAAATGCAAGATCGCTGTCCTCACATTCACATCTCTCAATGGCCATACCCCTCCCTACCAACTGTGGTGTCCTAAACACCTTCTGACCAGGCCGCTCAGCTAACATGCTTGACCGTGCCTTCAGCTCCCCTCTCGACTCTCTACCCCCTCCTCGCTCCCTCCCTTCCCTCCCCTCACCCTGACCATTTCCCCCCTGCTCGGGTCCTGACCCAACTGTCCAGCACCTTGGGACGTCCTCCCGACGTGAAAGGTGCTCTATAAATGGAATATTGTTGTTGATGTTCCCCCATCTTTGCTCCATCATTGGTGGGAGAGCTTTCAGCCATTCTCTGCAACTGGATGCAATCCCCCCCCCTGCTTTAAAGCATCCCCTTGACACCATTTGTAAAGAGATGGAAGGGCATTTCTCCTGATATTCTGACTCCAGATTAATTGTTCATTTACTTCATGGCTATTTTTGATATCTTGCTGGTGCAACAGGAATTACCTATGAATTATTTTGAGATGTTTTGATGGTACTATGAAATGCAAGTTCAATCATTCCTTACTATTTACAATGGGGGAGGGGGTGGGGGGAAAGGTTGATATTACTGATTAATACAATTAAAATGAATTGACAGTTGGGAAAGGACTATTTGCTCCAATAGAGAAATCCAGATAAGATAAGCTATTATTAAATTTAGGGCGGAATCCTGCAGCTCAATGATTAGAGTACTCGCCTTGCAACCTGGGTTCGTTTCTTGGCAGGATGAAACTTCTGCAAGTTTCCTTACTCAACACGCCTGCTTACCTGGAAGTAAGGAGGAACCCAGTTGTTAGTCAATTGGCAGATCACATTTTTGGGTGCAATTTACTCCTACTTATGAGTTCAATTCCAGGCAGGGTGAAACCTTGGGCAAGTTTCCTTACTCCACACAGAGCCTAATAATAATTCCTCCAAAAAAACAAAACAATAATAAATTGGTCATTTTCAATCTACGACTGTTTGTGGACATTGCTGTGCGCAATTGGCTGCTGCGTTCGCCCACAAATATACAGTCAATTCACTTTACAGTGTGTTCTGTGAAGCGCTTTGGGACGTCCTCCCGACGTGAAAAGCGCTATATCAAATACAAGGATTATTATTATTATTTTTCGTTGTGCCTAAGTTCTAAGAGTAGTAATACTTCTGTGATTAAAAATAATGCATTATTCTATTCCAATGAATAATTTGTAAGATTTGGGAAGCCTGCCTTCTAAAAGGTGTTAATGAATTAGAGATGGTTCAGAAAAGAGCAATGTGGATGATTCAAGGCCTAACAGGATAAGAACACAAAACTAATACATTCATTACCTAGAGATCAGAAGATTTTTGTGTTGAGTGTTAGTGAATATGTGGAATAGATTGCTGAATGAACCTAATTTATTGTCAGTTCATTTCTTTAGTTTTTTTAAAAAAAGGGTGTTAAGACTCTATCATAGGGAATAGGGTTCAGCATTTGTGGTTTGTTAAATGCGCAGTGCAATCCCTCTACGAACCACTCCAAACGGGTTTCCGTGCTGTCCACAGCGCAGAAACAGCATTGGTCAAAGTGACAAATGACATTTTGTCCATCTGTGACCAGGGCTCTCTAAGTCTCTTCGTCCTCTATAACACTGTCTTTGACACTGTTGACCATACTATCCTCCTGCACCGCCTCTCCTCACCTCAACTTTTATGGACTGGTTCAGATCCCACTTTTCACACCGTCTCTACTTTGTCTCCACAAATGGCTTCTCCTCCAGCCCTTGTCTCATGCAGCGTTCCTCAGAGCTTTGTCCTTGATCCTCTCCTTCAAAATGTACACGCTCCCTCTTGGTGACATCATCTGCAGACATGGGCATTGGACAGTCGGTTTTTCGAATCCGAGCTGGGGGTCGGATTGGGGAGGGTGGAGGGCCGGGGCGAAGTAGGGTGGTCGAAAGCACGGTTGAAGAGGAGGTTCTTGAGATACCTCTTGAAGGAGGCAAGGGAGCAGGATGCGTCCTTCTAGGGAGAAAGTACGCATTCCATTCCAATAAACATTTCTGGAATTTCCATGTGTGGGTGGGTTACATGGAAGTCTGTTTGGTTTGGATATTCTTAAGCATGGTGATGGGTTTCCGCATATGTTAGACACCTGGCTGATCAAAAAAGTGTCTCGAACATGGCAAAATACACCATTAGTCATGTTATCTCTGATGTCTGTAGATTTATTCTGTTCACTGATTAGAATCATAGAGATTATGGGGAAGACCAAGGCTCTCTTTGTTGGTGTCTGGCTGTCCTTAGAGAGACAAAATCAGAGGACAACGTTCTCAATTTTTATTAATGAAAAAGTTTGGATGGATAATCAAATGCAAGGATTATTATAATGGAGCATTGGCTACATTTGAAATCTGAGGCATCAAATGACCTCGGTCTTAACTTTTGCAGCGCCTTGGGATGTCCTCCCGATGTAAAAGGCGCTATACAAATGTAATCTTGTTGTTGTTGCGCAGCTGAACGCAGTGCAGCAGCTAAAACATTGACTGTTTCGAAAGACAAAATAAGCTATTTAAGACGATATTCATTGAGTTATGAGTCATCTTCCTGTTTGGAAAAATAACTTAAAATAACCTTAGTAACTGAAACACATTTAAGAAACTTCTTTTTTAACAAAATCCTAGCTTGTTATTTATAACTTGCATTTAATATATTACACTACACCCCATAATAACTTCAATCACAATTGTTCTGGTTTTCCTATTTATCGTAAAATTATTTGGCGATTTCTCTTCACTGTGTAAACAGAATTAACCCAATGCAAACATGAGTAATGCAGTTAATGGCTTGTTTAAGATAACATTCTGGAGGTTATCTACCAGAATGTTTGTGGTTCAAACATTCACAACACTGGTTCAAAGCAAAGAAATACAGTGTACATTGTAAATAGATCTCGTTTTGAATTAAGAGTATTATGGATGATTGTTTTGCTGTGCGGTGGAGGTGGGGTTCTGGATAGGGGAAGAGGGAGGAAATGCTTTGTAGAATAGGCAGCAGCTTGGTCAGAAACATCAGGTCAACAAAACATTGACTGCCTTGGAGTATGTGCTTCTGCGATGGATAATGAATGTTTTTGCTGTAAACTTAAAATGCAATGTTTTAACCAGTATGAAATGCTCAGTAAAAAGCTATGACCTCAGTCATATTTTACAACCAAGATTGTAACCCACAATGTTGAGTAACTCATGGTTAAAAGAAAATAAAGTTGAAGGATATCGGAGGAGGGGGGAGCTGGGATATGGGACAAGGGATAGGATCTCGGATAGACATGGAGTATAAACACCAGCCAGACTGGATAGGCTGAATGTTCTGTTTCTGAAATGTACCTTCCATGAATCAAACACTCTAAAACTCGATATTTATGTCTGATTCAGTTTCAACTGAGTTACCCACTTGTACTCATCTGACTACTATTTCCAGTTGTGAACATTGCAGAAAAAAGATGCACTATATCTGCTGCTCAAATCCACTGTGCTCCAGATTAGTGTAAATGACTAGAAAGCAGACAGGTATGCTAATGGATACAAGCTTTTAAATGGGCACAAGCTTTTAAAACCTGAACATTTCCTTCATACATTACATGGTTTCTAAAATGCTATGGCAGGAGTGGGTGAGGGGATAGGTTTGGACTATTTAAAAAAAATACTATATATTTTGTATAGCTTGTTATATAAAGATTCCGAAAGCCTTACTTGGGAACTGCTGTTGTGAATGAGCAACCAGGGATCTATTTATTACCACCCAATCCAGTGAAAGAGATGTGCACCACCCCCATCACACCCAGCACCCTGTATAGATATCATTTGGCTTCACGATCTAGCCACAGAAAGCTAACAACTCAAAGTGCCTAGCTCTGATTCAATGTGATCCATGCCTTCTATATTCTTGAAGCATTGTGATGATTGGTTAATATCCACAGTCTTGCCTGTTTATTTCCCTTTTTACAGCATTAATCAAGAATGGCTTTTAGTCGTCTGAAGTCATGTTGACAGTTATTAAATCTTAGCTTTAAAGGTTTTTATAAACTGTACTCCTGTTTGAGAGGGAGAAGAACTGATTATTGTTGATCTCACAAAGTCACAATTGAGAGATAGTATGATGTCTTTTGATGTGATTTATTGTATTGTGATGATATCAATTTGTAAACAAACAAGGGTTTGTACGCCAGTTCTTCATGCACATTGAGCACCTTTTTATAATAACCAGCTGGCTATCATTAAGCCATGATCCAAAATTAGGTTCAAGATTTAGTTGAGGTACAGATCAGCCATGATCCAATTAAATGACAGAACAGGCTCGACGGGCTGAATGGCCTCCTTATGTTCCTATGCCCTATGATAGTTCCCTTTTTTTTGGTCAGCTAGGTGTCTGACACATGTGGAAATCCATCACTCTGCTTGAGTATCCAAACCAAA